GAACGGCTTTATTTGTGTGTCACTGTTTATCATTCATGGATGACTTAATTTTATGTAATTTTTACTAAACTATAACATATTCGAATGTTTAATTTTATAGCTCTGCATTACTAGTTGATTTAAATCAGGCGACTGTTGAAAATCAGAAAGTCCTAGACAACTGTTTCGTCCTCGAATAATAAAATGTTAGTGTCATACATTCATTGCATAAATGAATGCTCGACATTTCAGAATTACGTACATCATCATCTTAGCTGCACATAACGGTACTATGTAATTCCTCTAGACATCAGTCCGAACGTAGTACACAACTAATAACATTTTAATAATATATAAAAAGTTCTTTTACCAATTAGAAAATTAAGCATCCAAAAGCTTAGTTCTTTTTGTTACAAATAAAATATATTGAAAACTAATATTAAAGTGTCTGAAATCTTTTAATTTATAATCTCCAACCACACTGAATTGATTTTTGTGGACAAAACTTTAAGTAGTCTGTTGATTAACAGAAAAAAGTTAATTCAAAATTTGACAAAAATATTCATCCCATTCACAAATGAACATATTCATGATTCAATCGCTCGATATGCTTTACATTGATTTATACATCATATAAGTTATTTCTTACTGTTTAATATCAAACATGCTTTGTAAAATTATTGCTAACACTGTAAATTATTCACTGTTCTTCAGTTTTATTCTATGAATATTTCACAGTTAATTAAGAATCTCTTCTTCCAAGATTTTGATAAATTTGTCGAAATTGAAATCATGGTCTCTGAACTATAGCTTAGATTATCAGATCATATTTAATAGGTGAATCTAAAATAAATACAAACGATATTTTAATTCACTGTCTTATCAGTATAAGTGGTTAATTATAAGGGCACAATAAACCCGTTGATCTCATTCGCACAGATAACTGTGTAAATTCAGTTTATTTCACATTTTAGTCCTGCTTAATGTGGTGGTTTTCAATGAACCTTTTTGGTTTAAATGGAATTTTTTGAGCTAAATAAATTTAAGATATGGAATGTATACGATAATGTATACCTGTAGAAAATCATAAACATGGAATAATTTATCCGATCTTTACGTTTGACTGCTGATATTTCACTGTATTTATATCAGTCTCTAAGGAGTTTCATAAAGACGGTATATATGTTGATTACTCAACTTCGCAAAGTGATGTTCATATTCCTAACAGATATGACCTCTATGAGATTTCAGATATTTCTAATTCCAGTACTTTTATTCAAGTGATTTATAGTCAACAAAATAAATTAAATCAAAATCTTTATAGCTGATCACCATTTTAAGTTATGCTATTTGTAGTTCACCCCTTAAATTGCATTTAAAAAGGTAACAAGAAGTCAGAGGCTCATTATTTACTTGATAAGTAGCATGATTCATGAACATTTTTTTAATTTAAGATAAATAATCCTCTTGCAAACATCACCCATGTAAGCCAATATTCACATTCCTAATTTATGTACTTTTCACAATCACCTCGATACAATCTCTTGCTTATAAAATAATGTTAGCCTAATTTGTCAGCTGCCCTATATATTTTTTCTATTTTTCATGCAATTATAATAAACAAGGACTATTTCACTCTATAATAAAAATGTCATTATAAGTATAGTCTGAAATGTTTATAATTAGTGTTTCAAATTTGAAGCATCATTTTATGATCATATAATAACACCGTGTATATGTATATACGTTGGTTGGCATGATCTAGACCTATAATTAAGTATTAGTCAAAATCCTTGTTATATACTGTAGATAAATACAAGCAAAATAACTGTAAACATGTTCAGTGAAGGAAGTAAATTAGGGTATATATATATATATATATATATATATATATATATATATATATATATAAACAAACCAACATCTATAATAGAAGTATGCCTTTATAAGAAAAAATCTCCATAAATCTTATTCACACAACTAATCACATTATATATTTGCCTATTTCCATTAATATTCCTATAAATCAGAAATACGCATAATAATAACGTTTTTGTTTTTGAAAAAAATGAATTCATATCACGCACATTATATTATCAGTTTCAACAGTTGGCTTTACAAAACACACAGGAAGAATTGAACAAACAAATGGCCAAATTGCAGCCACTTTTAATCATATTATAAAGAAAATTTATACTATTCAACTAGAAGTATAGCTAACAGCTCATTCTGACTAGCTGTTAACTAAGTTTATGCATATTTCACTGAGTTTACATTAAAAGAAATATTCCCATTTATAGAGGTGTTTGCTTTCTGGATACATTTATGTGATGTCTGGTAACTAGTACTCACTTATATTTTAAGCTACGGACATATAACTCTGTATAACAAATATACAGAAAAGAATAGTTTCTGAAATCCTAAAACTCAACTAAGCTAAACCCATCAGTCATAAAGACTGGAGGACACATAGTAACTTTATCAGCAGAATCTGTCCACCTATGAAATGTGTGGACAAATATGTTATCGGTGAATAATCATTGATTAGTCAATTGCGAACATTGTGAATGAATATCTCACTAGTGAAATGATTCAATAACACAAATATACTGTAAGAAATGGCATGAATAATACTAGTGTGATAAATTTTCCCCAAGATTATTTCATGTTTGACTAGTAGTATATATACATCTTTATGTAATAGCTTGTACATTAAAAATCACAAGCTATGATTTTGATTCATCACTTGGAAAAACTTGCAAATACATTTTTACATGTTTTAACTTTAGTTACACTCGTAGCTATTGTAACGTGAAATATTAGATAACTGACGGCAATTTGAAATAACTTTTAAATATAATGATTACAATTTGATTTGTTGCTGTAATGATCGAAAAGGCTCGCAGATACACAAAAAATTTTTAAAGCATAGGATTGAATGTTGGATTCATTTATTGAATTCACTTTAAAAAATTGATCAAATTGAAAGAAGCTCTTCGTCATCTGCCTATTAATCGAATGAATTATCGTAATTCGCTATTAAATTTATCCTTTATTATTAAGTCACTTAGTTTTTCAAATGATGTTTGGTAAACATAATATTTAATTGAGGGATAATTCAAAACAATTACAATAGGTCACTTCAATCAACGCAGCATCAGATTAATAATGTGAAACAATTTCTAGGTAATAAGATAGCAATAGAAGTGTTGGAATGTAGTCACTTAACTTTGAGGTATAAAACTGTTTAAAGGCGGGTTTTAATTTAACCTTTGAAGTTTACATGTGAAATAATATTTATGAATAAAAACGCTAATTCTTATCTACTGCTCACTAGTCTGTCCAATCAGCTTTGACTATTTTAGAAATATACAATCTTATCTCTAATGATTTTGGAATGGACTACTTGTTTACGGCACATCAATGACGCTAAAATTTGATATGATTTGTAGTATTTACATTTCTACCAACGAATTTCAATCGATAGCTAACGTTTATAGGAATTTCCCACCTAAATTACGTTTCATCTATGTCAGGAAATATTATTCGATGAAGCATCACTTAGTTTTTGCTGAACAGTACACAATTTTATGGCATTTTTAGTTAAGAATTGGATTAAGTGAATTACTAATATTCAATAGACTGATAAACAGTCATTATAATTTACTGACAGTTTATTTTAAAACTTAAATATGTTTTATTTAAATGCGAAATTTATATTTATTTTTCCAATAATGAATTACTTTGCATGGTATCTTCCTAAGGTTAAGACGTTTATACTAAACTGAAGCATAATAAAAGTGTTATCTATTAGTAAAGAATTATGAAGACTGTATAGTTTCATTCAACTTACGAAATGATCAATGATGAGTCCTATAGTAGACCAAAACGTCCGTCCATTGCTTCCATGTTTCCAATGGTAGTCTATCATTAATCGACTGATGAGTTCAATGAAGCTATTTTCCAGCACACAGAAAAAATGTCAACACACTTTCATGATGTTAGTACTGTTAAATGATCTTTTAATTTACAAGTACTAGTACACTTCTAAAAATATTTTTACACATAGTAATTTACCAATCTTCACAGTGCCGTAATGTAATTACCTGTGAGCGCTATTGACTAGCTCCGTAAGGAATCTTCTCTGAGTTCTAGTGGGAAGTCGTGACCAGTGAAATTCAACCTGTTCGGGTGTAGACAGTAACTACCGAAGACAGTGTATGAGGTTGTGCAAGACCATGAATTGATTGAAATTAGACATTAACACCGTTAGGTACTGGCTCACTGGTGCAGAGGTTAGGCGTTCGTGCGCAAGACCGTAGGCTCTGGGTTCAAATTCTGTGAGTAGCAGGAGTCTCGGGTGTGCACTGCTGATGAGTAATATACCAGGACGAAACGGCCGTCCAATGCTTCCCGGTTTCTAATGGTGGTCTAACTTTGATTTCAAATAATAGTAATGTGATGAAAACTATTTCATTCGCTACAAATTGTCGTGTGAAACTCCGGTTAGAACACATGCCTATTACATATATTCTAAGGGAAGTCAGACTTATTAAAAATTGGTGTAAGAGCGAAGCAGTGATAAAAATAAATACATTCGAATAAATGCAAAAGGGGTTCATCCATAAAATGCATCATCTGAAATACAATGAGGCTTCCTAGGCAAAAATAAGATTTTATACGTTGATGTCCACAAAATTATATGTCCTGGATGTATCAAAACTATAGAATAATGAGTACTCAGTTTTACGGACTTCATTTGCATTTTTGAAACATCCCATGTTTTATTTTCTGCGAAGTATTGTAAAATTACTATCCAGTTTATTATTATTTCATATATTTTTATTCCCAATCGATTCGTTCTGAATTATTTAGGTTCAGAATGATTAATTATACATTTGATTATATTTTTTTCTTTTTTTCCAAAGGATTATTCATTAAATTCACTTACAAATCCTTTAAGAAAAAATCTTGAAACTTCAATTGAATTTCTATATTACAAAAATCAGAGACTGTAAAACATGTGCAACTTGTTCAGTTCATACTTATATTTTATAAGTTTACTTCACTTACCACATTATTTAACACAAACTGATTGGGATATCCGAGCAAGTGTTATATTTCCTTCACCGCCTTCATTGTCTTCAACGACCACATCACCTGCAGTTCTACAACAAAAGCCAACAAAATACAATATGGGTAATGGGATGAAAAAAATGATAAGTGGAAGTAGTAAAACAAACATGTTACAAATTGTTGATGAAGTTATTCATAAACAAGAAGTAAGCATAGATTGTTTAGAAGCGCTGCACAACTGTGAATCCGTAAGCGGAATATGTAAAGTTGATGTGGATATTTTTAAAACATTTTGTGGTGATTGGACTGACGGTAAGTTATACGTGAAGTTAAATTTAGATGATTTTTTTCATTATATTTGTATTTATCGGCAATTCAAGATTGTGAAAACTGTTATTATACGCATCAGATCTGAGGTAAACCTTTTGCTGGCTGTTGGAAGTTACGCTTTTTTGATATAACTAAAGACCAGCTGAAGCACTTTCATTAATTACTAATCCTTATCAATAAATTTAACTTTACTGGACAAAAAATTGAACTGATTCGAATGGTACGTTCAGCAATTCAATACAGTTATGAATACAGTCAGTGGTCCACCATTGAACTCAGTAGAATATCTTTTTATATAATTAGGTTTTTAATGTTTCATTGTGACATTTGATAACGAATAAGTTATTTCCTTCTAAATTGTCAAGAATATCTTGTACATATTAACACTAAGGAATCTTCTTAAAGTATGTCTAATATATTTTAATATAAAGCTACTATGTACCAAGAAACTCTGTTATCTTACGAATAATTTGAAGCCTAAAATTACATGCATCAATTAACAAGCAAATGAATTTTTATGCTCCTCTAGCCAATTATAGTTTGTTAAAACACTTTCATTGAACGACTGCCTTCGTTTAAACTCAGGAACATTAGTACTGGATTAAAAATTTCAATTAATAAAATGTATCATGCTGAATTGGAATATGCATTCATGAAAGAAACATTTTTTTTACTAAATGGAGGAAACCTTTTTAAAATTTAGTTATTTCGAGAAAATATTATTCATTTGAAATTAAAATCTCAGTCCACAACATTTCTGTGATTCTTTTTAGAGCGTAGTTTAATGGGGTGCCAACGTAAATATTTACGAGAATGCCAATCTGCTCTAAGGACGATGAATCTTGGACGTCCAGGATTAAAGCATTGTACATGTGATAGTCGGTCTAGTCGTTCAATTGATGATCTAACGAAATGTAATTTACTAAGGAGAAATCTAAACAATCATCCATGTCTGGCTGAACCACCAATATTTTTTCGTGAATTACATTCGCATGGAAATTTCCGCCATGAATCTAAAATGGAATGTAAGTACTAACTTATCACATAATGATTTTCAAAGTTATAGAAAGGCATATTACTGATAATGAAATAAGCCAACCATAAAGTGGCACATCATTTGTCGTATTCCATTATTGATTTTCAAAATACATTTATTTTTTGATCGATTTTTTCGTGACAAGGAAACTTTCGTACATAACCGTATTCCATATTTTCATTCATTTCAAATAAGATGTACCTTGAGTATATACTCATCACATTCGCAGAAGTTCTGAAAGGTAAAATTTAAACTAATTGTAATTGTAGTAGTGAGTCATAAATTGTTTCAAAACATCAAGACTGGAGGAAGATTATATGATAATCTGATTGTTAATACAAGTTTGTCAACAAACACTTATGATAACTGTCTGATAAGTAGGAAGGTATTCGGATATTTTAAATCTGATGCTTTTGATATCTACTGTGTTTAAATGAGACAAATTTCCATACGTCAAATATCTCAATGCGTCTCGAAGTGTCAAAAATTAATAATGTTTGAACGCATTTTAGTTTCTGTTAACTTATAAGACTTAAATTCTAATGAGCGAAATTAACCGGTACCTCAGATGTGAACTTTACTTCTAGTGTAAAACGGAATAAAGAATGATACTTATAAAACTACATGAGGCCATCAATTTTACACGAATCGAAGATTCGGCTTTTTACTTAGGCGTTTTAGAAACTGACGAAGAATGTTACTGAATTCGATTTAATTATCAATTCAAAATACTTCTTTCAGTATTAAATGTTTGAGTATATAAGTTGTTCAAATACAATAAAGAATGAGGATTATTGGTTGGTTGAAAACTCTTTCAATAGCCAATTAACAGTAGTCGTAAGTAGTTGTCGCTAGGCAACAGTTTGTCAGAACTTGTTAATCGATTTTTACAATTAACAGAAATTCAGAAAGTAGATGATTTTGAAAATTTGTTACTTTCCACTCATTCTTCATTTTTAAACTGTTACTAACAAATTATGTGAACATGGAAAGTCTGTTTTGAAATTCTTGAAAACTGTTCACTTTTCTTGCGAATATAATTGATATAAATCACCACTATTAATCATACACAGATATTAAAAGCTCTACATAAATGAGAAGGAAGACAAAGAAACATTTATATGTGGATTGAAAAGCATAAGCACTCCACATTATTGTGTAATTCATTTTATTTTATCATTGACTTATGAATCCTTGGATTGCCTCAATAGTTTTCATATGTGCATATAATTATTACTAGTTGAAGAGAATATTATTCACTTATATGATGAGAGTTTTAAATAATTCGTTATCAATCCAAACGTGTCATCATATGGCTTGACTTGCATGAAAATGTTGCCAAAACGTTCGTGACCCTTTGTAATTGGTTGGTTTATCGATTACCAGCATAATGCCCGTAAGGTCAAATTGTCACGAACTTGAACATAGGGTTATGCTATTACTTTCCATCCAAAACCATTTTGGGTATAAAGACAAACTTAAAATGTAAACATAATACTCATTTTATTTTCACACAAACCATATGCAAGTCTGTCTCTTAACAGATTTGTTAATTTTTCCACTGAAGTGACAGTAAACAATCGCAACATGTGGGTATACCAATACACGGTTCTGTTGCTAATGGCTTGTGAAATATCAAATCAAGTTAAGTACTGAGTAATAAACCTAACTGTCCTCCATTCTGTCCACATAATGTAGGATAGTGTATGGTCACTGCGTTTAGAAAAGGCAGTTATTAGATCACTACTGTCATCGTATACGGACTAGGTTGGGGATGTGCACTAATAGAACAAAACAGTTCCATAGGAAATCCTCGTTTTAAACATTGATCAAACATGGATCGACTCGTGATATCAACAACGTTTACTAATGTCCGCAAACCTGTTATATAGATATATATCATGTGCTCTTCAGTGACTAGTTTTGAAACGTAGTTAGTGAAGTTCATGATTCTGTTACTTACCAAGGACAATGAAAAATGAGTGAGGAATTTCGTGATTATTTTTTAAGTTAGACATACAACCCAGCGTACGCCGCCACAGTGGACCGAAGCTTCAGGTGAGATACCGCTATTAAGAGCTGACCTCAACCAATTAAATATAAATGACTTCATGATATTAAATATCATCTCTTTCTTTTGTTTTATTTAAATTCATCAGCGAAACTAAATAAATACGTCTAACATCACCTATTTATATGGTTTTCTTAATAAATACGTCACTTTATTCTCTCTTAGTTTTAAAAATTAGTATTTAAAATCTCCCAAACTTGTCATTTATCAACTTATAATTTGAATCACAACCAATCTTCTGCCAACGGAACTTCTAAACAACTTATACAGAACAAAAATGACACATCTAAAATGATCTAAAGAATAAATCCAGTAATTAAAGCAATAACGCTAGTTTCTATATCCGTTGTTAAAAAAGCTCAGAGTTTGTTTGTTAGTATTTTGCATATATATATATATATATATATATATATATATATATATATATATGTAATTTTGATAAGATCGATCTGATTATTCATTGGATGTGGTAATCTATTGCCATAATGGCATTCGAAATTAAAAATTACACTGGTTCGTAGTACGTTCGAACTACAAAGTAAAAATTATTCTCCATAAAAGTGGGGAACCATGAGCACTGTGAGAGAATTATCAACGGATGACAGTAGATGAAGTCTCGAAATAAAGTGGATTGATTAGGAGGTATAGAGCTTCAGCAGTCACGCACGTGACCGAAGGTTCTGGGTTAGATTCCCATGTGCGGGTGTCTTAGATGCTTGCTGCAGCTGAGTCTTATGATAGGGAGAAGTGGTCATCCTGTGATTCCAAGTTTCTAATGATGGTCTAACATTGATCGATTCATGATATAAAGAATATTATTCAGCACTAAATTTTTATACCTACACAACAATTTTGAATGGCTTTAACGAAACACATAAGTCTTTAGAACAATATTTAGTAACAAAATTTTGTTTTCAATGTAAATAAATATCTTTATCAAGATTATCTTATTCTGGTCTAATGTTCTATCGCTTTTAATTAATTTACAGTGAAAGCAGAAAACAAAGCTATTCAATCAGAAAACAATATGAATACAAATTTGAAAAGTTCGAATACAACACCACTGTCGACTGAACCCTATGTAATGTCTACACCAATGACTACAACATCTATCACTTCAAATATTTCGTCGAGTTTAAGATCATCTAACATTGCATTGGTTGATGAAAATTCAGACAAAAATAAGGGAAATACAAGTTGTTTAGATTTGCTTGAAAATTGTACTAAACTCCCAGCATGTGCTATTGCACTGAATAAATTTCGTGCTTTATGCACCATCAGAACTTGCGATAAGTTAAAGTGAGTTTATCTACAATTAATTATGTTTGATTTATTTTTGTATTGTTCCATTTCAACAGGGTTCCATGCAGTCATTGTTTCGTTACTTAATACAGTTTTTTACAATAACAATTTGATTATATTTAAATAATCAAGTAAACAGAAAAAAATATGTGTATATAGAGAAAGAAAAGTCTTCTGTTTTGATGAACCGTAGAAACAGTTTTGAAAAGATAAATTTGTATCAAAAAGTGAACTACGTTATGTGATTATGACATGTAAGTGTTTAAAATTACAAAACCAAAATAATAAAAGGATGCTGATTTTCATAAAGCCGAAATAAATCTTTATGTTTTCTTAAAAATGTTATTAGTTAGCATGGTTGGAAAAGGCCTATGTTTCTAGAGACATTACTTACTAGTTACTGGTAATGAAATGCAGGACAAAGATTACCGTCTAGTAAAGAAATCTATTTCACTGAACTGATATCAACAATGTCTTAATGATAAAAAATATTAGGCAGATAGTTCGCACAATTTTTTGTCGCTTGAAACTACTTTGTTCGGAAACCCAATGCCAGTTACGATTGAAGATGAATTTAAATGCTTTCAAACTCCATTAGATATTTCACCAGCCTGTTCTTCTAATAACCTGCCATAAGATAAGTGCGGTTTATTCTTCATGCCATCTTATTAATTTGAGGGGTTTCATAGTCACTGCATAAACATACGGTTCACATAAACACAATTCACAAATGTCTCATGTTTACTTGAAAATAATAAATCATGGTAAGTGATCGTAAAAATTTGACTGAGTAGTTGATTGATCGAATTTCGACAGAACAAAAGCGTGAAAACTCTGGCAGTTATTATCGTTTGGTCTCCAACGTGTATAAATGTGTCATTTCTCTAAAAAGCCAATTATGGTCCAAAATGCTTAATGCTGATATCTATGATATAAATAATTGGTTTAAAGTTTACACTCAGGCCTAACTAATGAGTAAAGCCCAAATTGTTTGATTTAAATAGGTTTCCTCTAATCACCTGACGTCCAATAAAATCTAACAGTGAATCAGATTTACAAAATAACATGACAACTTGACACTACCCAGTGTTTGAGTAATGTAACTTGTGAACATCTGTGAACTACTAGAATTAATCTAATTTAGTGTTATTGTTTCCGTTCATATAATTAAACAAAGTGTCAATCACAATATTTGCAAGTTACAGTGATTCTGTGTGTTACGTTAGTTCCTCCATCATACACAACTTATTGCCCATTAACAAAAGCAAAAGTAAATAAATGTCCTGCATATGTTACCTTCAACTTCATAAGTCAATTTGAGTGTACATACAAGGCATGCATACAAAATGTGAGAATAGAAAGACTGGATCCTATTTGTTTTTTTAATCATATAAACATAAGCATTTGAGGAGAAAGTTGATAACTAAGTTTAATGCTGCGTCTGCTACTAAGCATGGAATACAAAGTAGATTTAATGAATTCATTCTATGTTAGCACTAAATGGTCCAGATCTGTGTTGTTCAGATTCTCATAAGCTATAATAGTTAGAAGGTTTAAATATGACATCTGTTTTCAAAAGAAAAGTCTGCAGTTAATGTTCAACTGCCTAGGTAACATTCTAACCCTCTTTTTCCTAACTAATTGTAATCATAATCCAGTGAGTTGACTTCACAGATTTCTAGAAATTTCAATACACTAAACAATAAAAATGTCGTAACATTCCAGAAATCTTCTTTTAAAAATTTAAATTTGAGTTTCTTTCATTTTACATTTGCAAAATAAACGGAAATAATTAAAAATCTTAACTCGTATCTATATTGAATAGGAAATCATGAAAGGCAATCGATTCATTGTATTCTGTAAAAATTGTTATTCTTGTTTCATTTACTTTCATTTGTTTACATTCTTAGCTGTCACTTTTAATTTGAAAATTTTTTAAATAGACATTTTATTGTGAATAAAATTAACAATTAAGTTGAAAGTTTACAAGCTATAAACTAACCATGATTGATGTGCTTTTTTTCAATATAACTTTCCAATTTCTGCATATGACAAAATACTTTTAGATCACAGTGCTTAGAAGCATCCAAGAAATTTCTTCAATTCAAAACGCATATGAATTGTGACTGTAAGAGTGAACTAAACGAAGGCAGGTATCGTAGATGTTTAGATTATAAAGAGGCTGTAACAGATAATAAATGTGTTGGTAAGTAAATTCTATATGATGGCATTTTTCTTAACATAATACGTTTTTCATATGTATTAGTTGAAGAAGAATAAATAAATATATCTGTGAACACTATTGAGTTGTTTGATCACCAGTTTTAGAAAGTTTTAAATTGTTGACTTGAAACAGAAAAAAGAATCAAGCAAAGTACTGAATGCCCAGTAGTTTATATGAGATGTTAATAAAACAAATTTCAAACTTTTAAACCGGTTATTTTAATTTCAAAGAATGAATGTGTATGTACTCTATAAAAAGTAAAAGTGATTTATTCACAGTATTCACTGGTACTGAGATTAAGAATCAAATCATAACACTATAAAATTTACCTACAGTTGAGTTAATTCATAAATTATTCAAATTATAGGAAATCACTATGGCGCTTATCAACAACTAACAAACTTTGAATAGGATTTACTTCATAGTTTGTCATCGCTGCTAACTTTGTTTCATAGAATTAGACAAAATGAATGGTTCTTCGTGGATTTTTCATTTAGTATTTATTAACAAAATAATCATTGACAAATTATTTTAGAAAAACAATTTTTTAGATTAAAATCCCTGTCTTTACTTTGTAGAATGCTGAAAGCAATTATTACTGATATGTGTAGATCCTAAAGTAGTCCTTAAATGAAATAAGGAAATTATTGCAGATAATTCGTAAAACACACGCACTTTTTAATATTAAAACTGAAATAAGTTTCAATATTCTGAGCCTTTTACATACCACACAGAAGAATCAAACCAACAATAAACCAACAAAAGATCGAAAAATTAGTATCAGCTGTAAGGAATCAATAAAAGTCAAAATAATTTAAAATTTATTTGGTGTCAGAAGATAACACGTTGATCATGCTTGTACTTAAAACCTATACTCGCTCACTGAGAGTGATAACTAAATTATCTTTTTAACCGGCTCATATGTGAGCATAACGAAAAACTCTATAAAGGCAGTTTCATTCAATTCATCTATGAATAAGTTTTACCACATTTTTCAAGAATTCTATTTTTCAATGGTTTTCCATGAGTTCCACTTTGTATTCACGAATTGTTACAGTAATTTCAATCACTACTATTGTTTTCTATTAATTACAGAAATTTCATCAAATCAACAAGTCAATTTGGCTAGTGGAAATGAACTGGAATATTCTTTTGTAAATATGAACTTGGAGAAAAATTCAGCAACTGTTCCAGTTTCATCTGACTATCATTTACCTATAACTGCAGCAGGTCAAAATAATTCAGGAAGTATAGAAGATGAAACATTATCCGTAATACATCAGCCACGTTTAATCGCTTCTAATATTAGTGGTCAAAGACCAAGCAAACTAATCGATGTGGAAACAGTCGTTTCTGAAACATGGAGTAAGTAACGATAGTTTTCAATAATTTATTCTGTGCAGATAAAGTTATTCAGATTAGATAAATTATGTTTCAAATATCACTTTTCTTAGACCTAAGAGTACATAAGAAAAACTATATACACCTTGAAGTATGCCGATTTACTGCGTGTTCTTATGCTTCGTAATTAGAGCGTCTAGACAATTGTTACTAGTTAGCGTCTGGCGGTTTATAAATCAGAAGACGAACTCGTACTGATAAATACGTTTATTTGGGACACACCACAAAGCGAAGCGGAGAAGTAGTGAATAGAACGAACGAAGCGATGTGAATCGGAGAAGGATGTAGAGCCAATTCTAAGAGATGGAGCGTGACTAAGAATATACAGTCAGACAAGAATAAGACAGACATGTGACAAGAGAAATAGACATCCACACATGAATAAAAGCGACGAATGATTGACAAAATCACAAGCAAGCGAGACAAGTCATGTGAGCTCATGGGGGTATTAAGAGAATAAAATTAAAGCGAAAAGGACGAGTAAGCGTATTTGCATAAGGAATGTTCATTTGTACCAGGTCATAGAAACCAGACAATAATAAAAACGAATGGTATGCGTAAGCTGTTACTATGCGAATGACTTGGTTAAATAAATTAATCGAAAGGCCTAACCAACTTGAATATGAGCGGACTCGAGTTTATGTGGAGGCACTACAACCGTTGTCTACATTGTGCATTCTGTTAAATAATCATCTCCCTGATTGGTACTTATATCTTCACTAATAAATGTGACCATTCAAAATCTATCAAATTTCTTTTATAAGTAATTTGAATCTTTCGAATAAACAAAAGCGTAAGTGGACTTTGAAAGACATTAAATTTAAACTCAGCAGATTCAACATTTTGACCTTTTATAAAAAGCTAATGTAAGTTTTCTGTGCTTCAAAAACTGCATTTTTACTCAAGTGAAAATTTAATTGGAGTATATTTTTCATGTTTGATCCCCATTATGCTGAATTAAACAAAAATATGTATGAATCTACATAATGCTGTTTTGGTAATAAACTTATTTATCGGAAAGCTTTTGTAAATGAGAGATAGTTCTGAAGTTAACCCATTGAAATATTCCCTCCAGTGGTTTAGTGAAAAAAATTAATCGAACTAAGATACGAAATACTTTTACTGGCCACAAGTTATACTGTGAGCTGATGAGAAATTATACATCCAAATACTTGATAGCATTTTGTAGTACGAGCTACTAAAAAAAATTGAGATCAGTAAAATGATGAGGGGCAACAATTATTACTTGTTATCAAATATAAAATCTGCACTTAAAACAAGAAAGTTAATAGCAAAAAGGGATAATTTAAGTTGTTTCACGGTTTTATAGTTCACGTCATAAAATGATAGTAAAAAACTCGAATCACCAGATGGCTATGTCGTTATAGAAAGGGACTTTTCATTTACTGAAAAATATAGATTTGCTTAGACGAAATGATCATATCACTGATCGAATCATATGTCATGAGTATACAAATAAAATATACTTTATTCAATGCTAGGATAAATTATATTAGACATTGACTAGCTGACAGACAAACCATAATAAAGCCACTAAATGATATTATATATACATATAAATATGCATTCATGAAACGGTATAGCTACATATTTGCTTACAATAACTTTCACTGATTGTTAAATGGCTGACATAAATGTTATCAGAATGCGCAAGGAAATGGCTGACTAGTTTTACTTTTTCCAAGGAAAACAACAGAATTTTATTGAAATTGTTCAAAATAGTATCAGATTCTAGTTAGACAAGTAAGACTAACTCATAGAAACTTTACCTTCATTATTAGATTGTAACATTACTTAATACGGAAATGTTAGACTAAAACCACACCCTCAAGTTATGTACTCCTAAATCTTCTAAGTACAAAATGTATTATATGAATGACGGATCAGACTGCGATCAACTGCAAAACATTGAGACGTTGAGTAATTGAAACTAAATATGCTTCTTTATGTCTGATGGCTAATATAAATCTAATGTATCTCAGTGATTTAATGGGTTTATTTTTTTTATTTGAAGCAGCTAATAAAATGAGTTGTTATTCAATATTTCATGAATGTCTTCGTAAACCTGTCTGTCTCCAACACTTTGTAAATCTTCGTTATGGATGTGTACAAATGAATCGACAGTTTAATGCTTGTAGAAATCCAGGTCAGTGTATAAACGCAGTAGAACATTTTTACAAAGAAACAAATTCTTTCGTAAACAGAGCCATATCATGTACCTGTGCGGAAAGGGATTTGGATTGTCAGCAGATGCAGAATATATTTGTACCCAGATGTATTCATCAGTCATATGGACTAAGAATAGATTGTTATCAAGCATGGATACAGTGTCAGAATGATCCAGTTTGTAGGTATGTCTTATATTTAAAAAATGCAGAAAACATTCATGTTAAATGTAATTTATAATATGTGTACTTGTTAAATTTAATTGAAATGTTTTATACTGACCATCAGAATAGGTGACTGTAAACATGTTGATTAGCGGCTGCATCTAATTACCGCTGAGAAGTGATTAATTATCGAGTCTACTGCTACTGGATGATAGGGGTTCAGATTACACAGGGAGTACTACCTCACCCAAATTAAAAGTTACGTCTTGCAGAAGGTCAATGACTACCAGAGAACCAGTATTTCATGTTTACTTCATTCGATCGTCTCATATCTAACTAAATGTTTTATGACAAACGTAAGAAAGGCGTATAAAATTATCATTTAATTCATTCTATGTAGGTAAATAAAACCTTCAAAATAGACCTGTGTGTTGATTACTTCTCATATTAGCTTTTTATGTGATAACTAACATTATAACAATAGATTGTACTATGGTTTTCAGTCCGTTTGTTATAAAATGTAATATGCAACATATAATTCTCATACTCCTAAACCTACTGCATATTATATTATGAAAGATAATGACAATAAAATGTATTTTAAATTTCTACGTATCTCAAGTCAATTACAATCTTTTGAATTACAATCTTCTGGAAATATAAACTGTTAGGTGGGTAAATATCACTTATAATTTTACCTATCTACTTAGCAGATTAAACATAATTATCTTCAAATTTCGCTAGTGTTTAATGGTTAATTCTGTGAAAAACAAGAGTTGGAAAGAAATAATATTATTCATTACTGAAAAAAGTAACGTAAGAAAATTTTACAGATTCGTAGCTATTTCCACTTCAGTTCACTTCGCTTTGTTTTACTTGTATGCTTTTCGTTATCATGTCTGCGTGAACGATTGTCTGAAATAAACTCATCTAACCTAATCCGTAGTTTGCTTCTTATTACCGCCGTCGTCCAAACGGGGTTCGCATAAGTATCATAAACAGAAACTGATGGGGAGATTTATTTCACAACATATTTAGATGTTCATATATATATTGGGTCGCGGACAAATAATCAGTAAGCCCTGCATCGAACCAAATACCACAACAGAGTGATGAGCCCGATGTCGAATCTAACGCAACGGATTAATATGATAAAAAGATCCTTTATATATGGTTCAGTCATTGAACAAACTTATCAAAAAACCAAATGACAATACTGTAGTCTGATAAGTCAGCTTTAAGTTTTGAATATCTTCCTAAATGGAAATGAAAGTACTTCAGCAAAACCATCTTTTATTATAAGATACATTGAAAAGACTATACATCGTATAAGAAGTTAAGTAACTATGCTGAATTCAACATTCATAAAATGTCCGTAGACACATGAACAAAAGGCAGAGTAAATGAGATGTGAACGAGCTAAAAATGTACTAAGCTGATAATAAATTTAAAATTTTCTGTTTTGATTATGCATGAGGGTAAGCAACCGTGTTCAACTACATGACACATATAACCAGTAAAAGTAATAGGATTAGCTCTTCAATAGGCTTTTATCAAATAAAATAAAAGACTTCTTGATACGTTTGAAACCAATTTGTTAAAAAAAATATGTATAATCTACCCATTTCAATCGTTTTCTCCTTTAATGCTTATTTATTCATATCATATCTTTCTCATACCGCTTGTCTTTTCCATACATAATACATTGATAAGATGTTACAATGTTGATTTTTTCATATCATTTTAATATGATCATTACACTGTTCAATTTTATATGCATATGAATTAATAAAATCATCACCTCAACGTAAATGAAAACATTCAGAAAAGAAAAAAATACATAATATGTTCTTATATATGTTTCGATATTTGCGATTTATCAACATTTGACTTAACTGAAGTGATAGTGTGTTCTTATGTTAATCCTTTTAACAGATCTATTTTAAATACATTGCTAAGAATAAAATGTATACCTTCACTCTTGTGTCATTAAATTAACTGAAAGGTCAATCAAATACATAAATGCCATCACAGTTTCACTTGTTTCTTAATCATCTTACTGTCAATAAAATCAGAAGATTAGTCTAATAATATAAACAGTATGTATATAAAGTCTTTCAAATTACACTTTATTTGATATAATTTCTGTAACTTATTTCAACTCAACATTGATAGAAACTTTTTGATTAAAATGCTTGTGCAGAGAATTACAAAACACTAAATATCAAGTGTTATTTGTAATTCAAATAACTAAGGAAGCTTTTTAGTAGTATTTTTCTCAGTTTCCTTCTCACAATAAGTCATCATAAAGCTAAATGCAGAAGACAATAACCTGGATGCAGCCAGACTAATTTTAAAAAATTTATGTCTCAGGAAAATTAGTTTTCATACGTGTTATAGACTGAAATTTCTTACCAGATTAAAATCAACACCATCTATATATAAAGTTGTTTGACTATATAACCAATAATTAGTACCAAACACATTGCAGTAAATCGAACCATAATTTATTTGTCGAATGTATGAATTAATACAGTCACTGGATAAAGTATATGTTTCATTTAAAATACGAGCGTTAAGTATTCATCACTGGGAAACAAAAGAATATGGACGAAACGTATTGTTGTTCAGTTTACGAAAAAATAATTTTTACCAGAAAGCATAGAATGGGACTATGGTGAAAGATTTTTTTAAAGGATTAGATAAATTTGTTGGTAACACAGTTAATAACTTCACTAAAATATTTTTGCCATTATGATCAAAATGAACAGAGCTTAAAATATGCGACATTTTTACAACCTTTCAGGACAAGTTATGATCTACTAGTTTCAGAATGTCAAACTTCTACTGGACTTTGTTACATAAACCCAACCGCTTGTTTAAATGCTTATCGAAGATTATGGAGTGGTCCATGGGCTGGTGGTTGTAGTTGTGAAACAACACGACCGAAGCTCAATCCATCAGATAATGTATTAACAGGATGCAGTGAATTTAGTAGAGTTTTAACACAACGTCCCTGTGTTGGTAAGTATTCAGTGTTGAATAAAATATACTAGTTCATTTGGTTTGGCGAAAGTTAGTTTTATATCTTATAGTTGAAACAATCAAAGACTCGATAATTCAGTCACTTAGAAGCACTAGTTTTTTGAATTTATGTGCTTAACAGCGAAATCACACGTTTGTAAAATTATCATTAAAAACTGAGAACTTTCACAAACAGTTAATATGTATGTAAACCGTTTCATGCCAGTAGGACTAAGTATTGAAATGGGATGCGAATTTGAGTTTTGTAATCAATGACATCATATGAAATCTTATTACCTAAGATTAGGACTGAAGATTAGATTGTCAGTAAAATTGAATTTCAAAAACGTTTAAAGAAATGTGAAGTCAGGTTTCGAAACATGTAATCATATCGACGTGGAAGGTCAAAGTAGAATCACAGGCTGTACAGACTTCCTATAATCAAAGATTTGACGTATTACTTTATGTTCTTATGACTTCATTTTCACTACGTAGAAGCATTAAGAATAATTAGTAAGAATGAGGAAAGAAAATAAGACTTGTGTTTGTCAAACATTTTTTTACTTCGCTTTCACTAATCTATTTCTTCTGATGGTTAAATAAGATCATTATAAACTAAAAAGTGCTTTTATTCTAACAAGTTTTAGTTGCTAGAAATTCTTTTGAATAGCTTTTTACCAGGGATAAACCAAATAGAGAGATTACAAGACGTATCAAAAAGTCGCTAACGTCTTGTTCTATCTTTTAATTTATTGCAAATAATTTTTCCAGTTGCATTTTATTCATTACTTCTGTAAAGCAAACCATTTATCTATGAAATAGGGTAAACCCTGTGAAAGACAGAAACGTACAATATGCTTGTGTAAATTGTTTTATGTCTTAATCTTAGAATTTATATCAAGTGATTTTTCATCACGAACTGTTGACAAATAAAGTGAATTGGTCGAACTTAGATAACGGCTCAATGGTCCAGAGGTCAGGCGTTTGCGCACAATACCGAAGGTGCCTTGTTCGAATACTGCCAGGTGCAGGAGTCGTGGTTGCGCATTGCTGATGAGTCCCATACCAGGACGAAACAGCCATCCAGTGCTTCCAGGTTTCTAATGGTGGTTTGACTTTGATCGATTCATGGCTTCAAATGTGTAAATAAGGTTTTATTGAAAAAAAACAAATAATATTCATTTCATTATAAGTAAAATCAGCATACACTCACGTGTATTATTAAGTTCAAGTATCCAAACAGATTTGATTCAAGACACACAAGAACGCTTAATTAATGTATGTGTTCTTAGTTATCGAAATAACAAAATTCAAAAAATAATACTGTGAAATTGTTATGAATTTCAGAAAGCAGTTCCAAAACACATCAAGCCGAAGATTCAGCTTTCAGTCACGAGCCGTGTAAGTTGGCTTTTATTGTTCAATAAATTGTTATTATTAATATTATTAAACTTCTGTTCGAAAAGAAACAGTGATCCACTTTTCATTATCTTGGTAATTTTTATTGTTTTTTTAATGTTATTTGTATTCTTGTTCATTTTATTATGCAGTCTTCACTAAACTAACGCTTATTTTACTTACGTAATCTTTTCATTTATTCGTTTCTCAATACTTACGTAAACACCTTCATATCTTACCTACTTATTAACTACTACGTCTAGACAAATGATCCATAACTTTTGTAAACTTTTCATAATTTCCATACTTATCACACGACCCATCTTATCTGTTTCTGGACTTCATTTGATTACTGTCCGATCCTTCCTTATGCTTACATTTGAAATCTAGCTTTTTATGACCTCAATCCTGTTCACATATCTACAATAATAATAATTATTATCAATCTTTAATAAATTGGTCCCTTCATTTATTATTGTCAGTTACATCGCACTACATCATACATCCTCATTACACTTATATATACTTGTAATCAGTCGATGATAAACCACATTATTTAATGAATTCATTTTATTCTACCTTAAACGATGTTCTGATTTAATTTATGTTATTGTTTCTCGTCAAAGCAATATGTGATTGCAGAAGAAAATACCTCGAAACGATGTAAAATTAAATGTCTCCAGATATCCATTGAGGCATTTGCTTGTGGATAATCAACAACAGAACTCGAAACGTTTTTACAATGATAATTCTAACTTGTCAACACTTACTAAGTTTTACTGTTGTTCGTAAGTGTATGATTAACTCGGCTTTCATTCGGAAGTTTGAAATATTTATTACTTGTATAAATTTGAACACTATAATTATGAAGTAAGATTACTAAGTGTACCGTTTTTGTCACATCTTTCACAAGATTTTTGATAAACTTACTTTCAGCGATCAACATGTAAATTTTTTCACACATAATACTACAACTTATAAGTAACTTTATGGTGATGAAGTTAAGAATTTTCAATTCTCTTCACAAAAGCAATAATTTTTAATGAAAATTTACAATAGGAAAAAAGTCTATGACATTTCGCTTTTCAATTATATTCTTCAGAATGGATTACCAAAACTTAAGTGCCATCAAATAAACTGATTTTATTACGTATTCTTTTCCATGTTTATATTTCACATTTGATAGTACTGCATATGATAAATTAATTATCTTGTCATCGGATTTCACAAAGTTGTTAAAAATGAGGAATTTGAAAAACTTATGTTATTTCATACAATTTTGGCACTTGTGGATAACATGGTTGTTATATTTTGGAGCGAGAATTCATGAGGATGATTAGTCTATATTCTATTCGATACAAAATGTAGTACAGATTAAAGGGAATAAACTAGCTAATCAGCTCATGTAGCAGAAATCGGTGAAAGAGATCATATTTTGAAAATGGTTGTTCATTTCTCGACTGAAATTTTGTTTATCGACTTCTGAACTGTAACTCATATTTTCCTCTTATTAGGTTGTTCATTGCTCCCACTTTCTCACTGTTTGTATGACTTAAATTTCATTAAATTTATACAGTCTCTACAACTCCATACTGATAATAGTTTGGAAGTTAGAGATCCAGTAATCTAACATTTTAATTTTAAGAAGTAAATAACATTTTTAGGAAGATTTAAATGGTGGTTAGGAGGCAAATAGAAACGATTCGCTCAGGACGGAAACTTACAAAAATTGACTCATCAGTTGCAGTCTTAAACATCAGTCGGATGATTCAAACAATCTGTGCAAATGAATTTGCACATTTCCGTTTGCATAAAACTCAAAATTATTGTCTGACAAGTTAGTTCCAAAAGACCAGGTGTTATCATTTAGATTTCACGTCACATTCTCATAGAGTCTAAATAAATGCATCTCCTGTCTCTGAATCAGTTCATTTTACTATGGGACCAAATTCTACAATCTCTAGAGATGTTTAATGGACCAATAAAATATTTGAACCAGAGCCACGCTGTTTCAATGCAAAATAAGTTAAAACCAGAAAAAAGTATTTTTTTCACATTTTTACTAATTTCAAATAAAATTTTCTTATTTCTCTGTTTCAGTTTATTGTAAAGTGATGAAAAAATTACAAATGCCTTCTGAAGATTATGTCAGAATTCCGTCTTTGCGTGATTATCAGGAAGGAAGGCAATTTGCTAGAAATTGTTCCTTACTATGCAATTGTCAATTTGGTTGTCGATATGAAATGTGTTATAGAATGGAGACGAAAATTTGGAATGCATATTATTTGTCTAATCGTACTAATCAAAATATTACTCTACCAACACGAATACAAACAATCAATATTTACCAACCAAATTTATCATTAGCTTGTTTTTATCTTCCAAAATTCAATAGTCAGTGCGTATGTTTTGCATATAATCGAGTTGTTTGTAATGTAGTCAGTCAGAAAAACCAATATATTATATCAGGTTGGTGAATTTAAATTATTTTACTCAATCGTCAGTAAAATTTTTTATATTAAAGCAAAAAATGAAATCGAATAAAATGTACGGCAATTTATTTGTTGAACTCTTTTAATGAATTGTAGAATATGAATGAGAACAAACGAATGAATAATTTTGTTTTACTGTCCGGTTTCTCGAACAGAAGACAATATTAAAATCACAATCTACGTAATTCACGCTGGCATATACTCAGTGATTGTATCATGAATATTTTGAAGAATCTTAATTGATTTTCTTTTATCTTTAGAATAAAATGAAGTGGTGCTTTCTGAATCCCAAAATTCATTTAGGGTATTTTTGAATGAAATCGCTCATAGAAATTAGTGTTTTCGAAGATTTTTTGATTCAGAAATTAATCATTTTAAACTGAAAATTCTCCGTGAAGGTCACAATTCATTCTGGTGCCATTCATTTTTACGTACTTGGTGTACATGGATGAAAACTGTTCCATATTATGCACATGTATTATTTTGTATACCTACAAAATAATTGGATTTTCAATAAAATTGCTGACTGGAAATAACTTGATGGTGAATCATTTAAACTTGGCCGAAGAACTATTAGGATAAATGTATAAATATTTGAAGTCCTTACCTCTAAATAAGATTAAAATCGAAAAACTATTCCCTATTAAGTTTATTTAACACTCATAGATATGTCTGATTGTTTATTTTGACTGTCTATAATATTAAGTAACCTCATTTTTATTGCTTTTAATGAGGAATTCACAAAATACATTTAGAAAATAAGTTCACTTTCTCAGAAAACACAAAATTGCCCTCATAATATCGACAAGAAATTGAGTAGGTTATTCGTGATGCTTGAGCACTAGAATATTCTGCTGAACAGACTTCAATTTCCTGGATGGAGATGATAACTTTAGGCTTGAGAATGAATGCATAATACAATCTTTTGGATGCATTTTGTAACTCCATTTACTAGTGAACATAAATAACTTTGACACAATTATTACCTACGGTACAAAAATAGACGAGTTAAAACAACAATTAGCATGGGACATTATACTTCACTTATACCGAAGACAAATCAAACTTGGAGAGATGTAAAATGAATCACTGTGTTATGTGTGGACTATTATGTATGTATTTGAACGGATGTAGCCATCAGTAGCAGTTGTCAGTCTGTTTACATGGTATATGTGGTTGATTTATATTTTAGTCATACATACACTTAGGCAGCCCAAAGTAAATAAAGATTGTGCCTGTGTGAACCATTTGAATATACATGAGAAAGTTGACTTTAAAATGGGACAAGATTAAGCATATAACTTTACAAACGTTTTATAGAAATTTATAATATGACTCTAGGTTTGTTTAGGTGTTCTCTCTATGTGAATGAGATGTTACTAATACAATTCAGATCTATTAATATTGAACAGTTGGCGAACGATCCTTGATGTCACATAATCCTTAGGTTCTATTTCTCTATGCAAATTTTTATTGTCCTCTAGATTTTACTATTTACCATAATTACTCAAATCATTATAATTGATTTTTTTCAACGAAACACAGAATTCCAAGTAATCTGCTACAGTATAAGCAAAATTTTTTCATACACTGTTACATATATCTACACAACTGTTTCATACTATTATTTCTTTATTTAAAGGTCATAAGCTACTGATTGATTTTGATGTGGAAATGTATTCAACAACGGTCGATTTGTTGGCCGATGATAAATCACTCTCAGAATACGAATTTTACGGAAGTATTGTTCAGCTTGAATTCCTGCTAACTAATTTCTTGGCACATTTAATTGGACAGAAAAGCTGTCGGTTAATCTTATCTGCATACCAATCAATTGATGATAAACATATCTGGTTAAAACAACCTTCAAGTAACAATAAATCGAACAAGTTCTTGAAACGATTAGAATACTTGCTGGCAGTAAATCTAGACTCAGCTTTCCCAACTGAAAACAAAACATCCGTATGTCTTAGAATAAAAGCTTCTGTTAAAATATTCATTATTCATAGTAATTTTACAGGTTAACTTTCAGTATCTTTCAATTTTACTTAGAGCAGGGATTGTAGCCTTAAACAACAGCTAAAACTTACAGCACATTGGTCACTGGAATTATTTAAAATTACCAGATGCCTGAGTGATTTGATGTTCGCTGCAATCATACAACGACAATTCATTCTGTTCTAAGAAAATAAATTACTTTTTTATATTCTCATTGTAATCATAAGTCCGAAAACTGACATGTAAAACTTTCATTGTCAGCTTGTTGATAGAAAATAGAAAATTACTAAAGTTATCGATATACAGTGTAATGATTCAAATGGCATAATGATCATTATGCCGAATAAATCATTTATCAGTAAATAGTATGCCATGAAGATTTTATCTACAAAAGTAAAAATAATTTTTTTTTGAAAACTCATATGAATGGCTAACTATATAATCATAGCACAATAATAATTTTCAAAAAATATTCCGCAATTCTGATCAAACTATTACTGTCGATACTTTTTAATCAGCCAAAAATTCATTTATCATATGATAATATTAATAATAATTTATTATGCTTTTAGGATAATTTTATCTCAATTGAAAAGATATTTGTTATATGATTAGAAAATACTATAATTTCTAAAATTCATGTCGGTAAATATGATATAAGTTACAAATGAAATGGGCTGAAGTTTAGCAAGTAATACAGAGCTTATAATATACTGAATATCGTATGATTGATTTATCTTATGAAAGGCTAATTATTTTTTTTTAGAGTCCATTTAGAAATGTATATATATATATATAGGCACACACTAGCTAAATGTTTTTTGACTGATCAAAAAGAAGAAACACTGATAGTAAATGCATTCAGTATATAAGTAAGTGTTCTGTGAATAAAACCATAGTTTATATAATTGTGAAACTCACTATCGAGTTGTTTAAAAACGACAAAAGGTTTGTCTTCAATGCAGTTGAATAAGTAGATATGAACTCCTAAAGATGTTTTATTCACTTTTCTTGAAAAATACAAAAGAAATTTCGATGATAATCTATAAAATTTATTTTCTCACAATATTTTGGATCAATAAATTGACAATTAACGTACTAACAGATAAACTGTTCAACATAAAACCAAATTATGTTACAAAAAGGATTTTTTTTTCTGATAAAAAATGGTGCATTTAATGATATAACAAGGATACAAAATTAGAATTTTCTGGAATAAATCAATGTATACACAACGAGCTTTATGGTCTTAAATTATACTCCCTGTGCACCTCATATAATGTAGAAAATCCAAAGAGATAACGTGTTTCGATGATCATATTATAATCACAAGCCTTATGATCTGCCTATCATGATCTTTAGAATTGTGCAAATCATGTCTAAACTGTCAAACTTTATAATGAATATTTTGTGTTCATGCAATAATCACAACTGTATGAGATTGATTAACATTCTAAATTTAGTGTTATAAAAAAAGCAATTGTATTTCATTCGTTTACATTTTAGTTATGTTTTAATCTGCTGAACATGCTTACAATAATGATCAATGATCAATACCCACAAATAAGATATCATGCAAAGTTTTCTACATTTCAAAAAAGTCATGTAAGAACACCAGGATTTATTGAACATCATGATGATTTAGACAGAACTCCTGATATAACATATCGTTTACAACAACTAAAGCATCAACAACAACAAGAAATTCAAGCATGGAGGCATATAAGAACATCAGTACAAATGCAACGAACTAATGAATTACAAAAGAATAATTGTCATAAAACATTCACTTTGAGTTTCCCTTTCTATAGAATTCTGTTTATCTTCATTATATCTACGAATCTTCAAATGAATTAGATGAATTAATTATCAAACTGATTTCCATTTATAAAAAGTTTCAGCTATCCACTCTCTCTTTTAATTCCAAATCGATTAGGGCAAAAATTACAAATTTATAGAGCATAGTTGATAAACTGAAAATTTTTCAACCATTTGATATCTTCTGTTTTGTAGTGAATGTGTACACACGCGAATATTCATATAAATTTTTTTCTATTTCTTAATGTTAGCTTTCTTTTGATGTATATAAATTATTAATTTGTTTGCTTTTATGTCCGGTCTTAGCATTGAGCTTACAGATGTATACATTTATTTTTTATGAACATAAAGAAGTAAAAAGCATGTAGTTGAATTTTATAATATGGTTATTTATCATTCCATTGATTATGTTGTAATGCCTATTAAATTCAAATTCACATCTTATGCTTTTGTGATCCAATGTTTGTTTTGTTTTTTTGTAAATTCCTCTCATGTTTACATGTCCAATTGAAAAAACGAAAACATTTTGTGGAAAACTATGCTTGAATATACATATCTCAATTGCAATCTATTGTTTCCTGTACAGTCATCATGGGTTTTTTTAACATGTGTATCGAAAGATTACATTCTAGAATATTCTGTATTCAATTGTAAACTCAGCATTTTTTAACATCATATTTAAAAAGAAGCAATTTCTATACACATTAGAAAGCAAAACAATGAAGTTATACAATGAAATGATGTCATACACTGTGACACAAATGAGTACTTCAATAAGACAGACACATCAATGTTGCTTGATAACTTTTCTAAAAACTATGTAACAAATGTATTTCACTATTAAAATCTATTATTTTGTACTCCTGTCGTCTATTGTTTTGCTGTTTTGATTTTTGTGAAATAAAATAAGATTTTTTTTCATTTCCTTTGATGTCAATGTCTTACATAACTGCAAATGTTTAGACTTGCATAACAGCAAAAGAGTACTCCTTTTGTTTATGATTTAAACTGCTTTTTTTACCAGTTTCTTTAACAGTATAATGGAACAAACTGACGCTTGAAAATAACTTTATAAATCTTTCTACCTCATGTCTCTTTGAGATGATACGCAAACTTCGTTTAAACAGTCGATTTGTGTATTTGTTTATGCAAATTGTGTTTGTTTTTGTTCTGTGATATGTCCTAAAGCACCATACCAAAATACATCTATTATGTGTGATTACTTTTGTTTTAAATTTCATTCCATTCTCAATTATTTGAAAAGCATAGAGCCTAAAACTTCACTGAAGTGATATTTTCTTGAACAACGACATTCATGTATTTAATCCTAGTATATATTATCTACTAATCATTAGTAAGCATGTTTCTCCATAATATCTGAAATGCTTAAAACTTGCTTTAGTCTTTTCATAAAACTAATGTAAATCGACTGTTAGAAGCCCGGCTTCTTTTTATATTCACTGTGGCATAGAATTTTATGAACAATTTGAATACTTTTAGGCCACGAACTACCATATTATGGCTATTCGCCATTTAATAGTAGTCCTTTTAGTGGCTAGAGGTGTCGTTCCGGTGTGGAAGAATGAATAATTATGCCAATAAAATAAATCTTCCACTCACTTTCGGAAAATTATATCTAGTTTAACTCTGTTCATGAGACGACAGTAACAAGAAACTTAACACGGTTTTAGTTGGATGAACTCGTTCCCAGACAGACATACGAATGAGAAGCCTTAAAGTGAAGCATAGAAGACTAGTTGGTTAACCCCGTTTTATGGAGCAGGACTCAGTATTTATTATCAGACAATATTAAGCTAGAAATATGATGAACAACGCACACTCAAATATAAACAGCCAAAGTTATAAACGAATAACTAAAAAGGTCAAAATGTAAGAACAGAAATTCAAAAAGAGCAGATTATTCAATTTGTCCCAAAAGCTAGGACTGAGCATGTACGCTAAACATAACGGTACACGTTACTTCCTGATGATTTATTATTAACCCTAGGTTCCAGATAATCGACACTTGGCGTCCAGACAAAAAAATTATGTTTTGAACAAATACACTATTGGCTGTGGATATTGATATCAAGATTTTAGATGAGTTATTTCGTCTTGTCTGCCCCATTGTAGTTAGTCAACATTCATAACTCGGGAATATGACATCAGTTTAAAAACTTGTATACAAATAACTAACTGTTGTAAACCTAATGAAATAAATAACCCTACAAACTTTATGCCTTGTTAATATACTTGTTTCTTACAATATCATACCAAGAATATCATATTGGACAAAAAAATTTGAATCATTTATAACTAGAGTAAATGATTCGATTGTAAATAAGATGAAAATTATCAAACTGAAGCTAACAAAGAATTAATTCAACAACAACCAAACAGAAGTAAGTAGAAACGCGATCACGTCTCTTTTTTTGAGATACGTCATTGAATTATAATAATCTGCTTTATTTTTGATGTGGCTAGTAGCTAGTATATATGCCGTAGCAGATGATAAACTTCATCACATGTTAAATGTGTTATACTACTAATATACCTTATATTTGCCATTGATACATAAACGCAATAATTATTGATTTACTACTGTTGAGCATGATGACCTAGTTATTGAAAATAATAATTCCCCCCAAGTTTTCGTTGTTAGTAAATTTATTTTGGAAATTTCCTAAAATTCAGTATTAAGCTGCTCTCTTCAGTAGATAAATGCTAAATACATCTAGAACGCTTTCGAAAAAGCCTTTGCCTTTCTTTAATGATTAATTTTGTTTCTAAACAAAATCACTTTTGTGACGGTGGATACTAATCAAATAAGATGAGTTCATCATTTGATCTAATTATGCAAATAAATAATTTTAAAGACAATACGTATGTCTAGATCTGATACATAGTTACCTGGAACTTATGATTGCATTATAAAATATCTCAATTTTCTTTTTACTGAGTGGCATAATGGATTACCTTGAAACTATATACAGATCTTAAATTATTGATCCCATAATCGATTAGCATGAACTTTAGTGTCATTAGTTCGTCATTAGGACTTGTATGCCTCATATCAAGAAGCCTTTAAACTAAATGTGGAAAAAATCTCTGTCGTCCTAAATTGGTATATAAGTAATTTTCAACTCCATTATTGCCAAGTCATTTTTTCTGTGAATGATTACAAAGAGGTAGAATTTATTGTATAGTCATTGTATTATAAGCAATATCTATGAATAAATATATATTTATATATATTCATAGATAATGACTATAGGATGTTTAAAAAATGTTAGCTATGTCATAAGGACCGCGAAGAACAAAGTGAGAACGAAATAGGTACGTCATATCCTCATATGATGACTACTTTCACCAATGTAAAATGTTTAGACATTGTAATCAGAAATGTCTACTTATTTATTCTAGCGAATAAATTACCAAAAGTGTTAAATAAACACCCACTTGACATATTGGAAATAAAAAAACTCTCACATCCTCAGAAATAATATCTTCAAACCGAGTGAAACATAGAAGAATGTGCTTACTATTTAAACTATGTCGACAAATATTCTTCTACATGCTTGTTCTGTAAGTGGGACAACTAATTCAACACAGAACTATCGCAAACAGTTATAATAAGGATACGATTTTAGCATTTAAGGTTCGTAATATTTATGATTCAAACAATTAATTTCATTTAATTGGTAGATATGTCGCAGTATATGTGCCTTTACATCAAGAGATAAAATCAACGATTAACAATAGTTACAATTGTTTTCAAAGAGTCGATTCACTTTTTATATAACTTCCTTTCTAATAATAATCTCAGTGAGCACGGAAAATTTATTTCAGACATATTTGTTTTGATAGATTGAGATTTATTCCAAAAGCTTGATAGGATACTCAGTACACTAGTTTCATGACAGAAGCTTGTGCTTCTTTAATAATTAAGAAGAAATACATTTAATTCAGTTTGACCTGGTTTAGCTTATCCGGTTTTTGATATTTCTGACTGAAATTTGATTAGTCTTGGTTGATATATGTGCTTTCTGTATGGATTGACTCGACACTTCTATAATGACATACGCTGATATAGAATAGATGGAATATGATTAGTAGTGTGCTGGGCTTGCGATAGTTAAAATATGACTTGATATCGTCGAACGGAACGATAACCAGTGAAGCATCAATAAGAGAGATTATCTGTTCACTGCTGCCTAGCCCAACTAATTAGAGCGAAAAATCCCAGGTCAGCAGGAAGAATGTATAATTCGCAAGCAGCCTCGAGCGAATGAGTTAACAAGTATTCTTTCAAACTTAATACGTAAAGCACAAAATGTGTCCTTGGATGAGTTACAATGAGAACACACACAATGAGAATTAAGGTCTTTCCAAGTAGGAAACACAAACTAAAGATTATAGGGGGAGCTTTCGGCGCCAAAATAAGAAATTTGAATTACCAGTCACAAAATTCAGAGGTCTTCTAAGTGGTTTCTGGGGGTCCTCAGTATAGTGAAATCCAGAACGTCCGTTTTGAAATTTGATGTACCTGAACTTTAGAATTAATGTTTACACCGGGACTTGAATAAAATAATAATCTTTAGAAGTAATAATCATATCAATATAATCTTGATTGTTCAAGTAGGCTTCAAAAAACTAGTGTTACTGTTTTGGTAATGTCGAGGCGATCCGCTAGAAATATACATATACCAAAAGAGACTGATCTATTCCTGCCCCTATTATCGAGAAGTTTAAGATAAAAACATTTGCAAACTAAGTCTATTCCCATTGAACTAGCTAGTAGATATCTGGACTTAACAGCTAGATTGGTAGTACAATGAAAGTTTGAAGCGAAAACTGCTGGACTGAAGTTCTTGTGTAAAGATCATCACTTGAACACAGGGGTATCCAGCTGGCAGTAATGAAAATAAAATGATTTATGCATCCACTAATAACTAAGCATTACTAACTTTTAGTACCAACTTATGGAGTCTTATTGTAAATGGTTTAACTGTACAATTATTAAGTAACTAGTACATTTA